CCTGTTTGGGAAGGAAGGACACTAATATGAACAAAATATGTTATTGCTGAACGCTGCATAATCTGAACTGTCACCCCAATCAGTAACATAGGAAAAAATGCCAATTTAGTGGGATTCTTACCGTTTCACCTTTACTTCCTGGGTTTCCATCTCTTCCAGGATTGCCCTGAAAAGAATAAATGATTAATCTGTGCTAGTACAGGCCCTTAAATCCAAAATTTCCATAGCACTGTGCAAACATCAATTTGTATGGCAGTAGTAATAACAATATTTTTGTATAAACCAGCACACTATTTCCAAGGACTTATATGGTGTTGCTTACTTACAGGAGTACCAGCTGCACCAGCATGACCTGCTGGACCAGGTTCTCCTCTTTGTCCAGGGGTACCATCAGAGCCTGGGGAACCAGAAGCACCTGCTTCACCCTATAAAGATGACAGAATAAGAGCAAATTGAATGCATTTGAGTATTTCTCTCAATGGATAATATTAATATTTTAGCCTTATTATCTCTTCCTCAGTCAGTGAACCATTGCTGGACCCAGCCAGAATGCTGACACTAGCATATCCTGAGCAAAAAAGGGGGCAGGTCACTGACGCAGGGGAACACAGCTAACTAGGGCTTCGCAATATGTGCTGGGGAGCACATGCTGATATACTAGACAATACAAAGAATACCAGGAAATACATTCCTCCTCATGCTCTATAAGGCATTGTGTCTGCCTTTTTCCTGTGCAAGCAGAATGCCTCAGAGTCCCTTTACCAAGCTGCCAAAGCCCCATTGTCCTGCACCTTACACTGTTCCTTACAGGAACAAGACTGAAATTTAATCCTTTTAATGTAGGAAAGGAAATAAACAAAGACCACCCAATTGTCATAACTGACATGGAAGAGCAGAGAGACAGTGCTGAGAAGGAGAGCCAAATGAAAAAGGAGAAGGGTAAACAAACAAACAGTTACAAGAACAATGGCATGCACAGGTGTGGGCTTCAAGTTACAGTGAGTGACACACAAATTAAGTAGTGCTGCTGGATGACAATCTGCCATGAAACTTAAGGAGGAGTCATCGCGGAGAAACTTCCAAAACCTATGCAGAAGTGAGAGTTATTACAGGCCTTACGCCAAATCCTCACTGCTTTCCCATGCACTGGTTGCAATGGGAGTGCTTGGGAGAGTGACCTGAGCATGATTTGCCTAATTCTGTGTATGAAAATGGGACAGCAGCCAGACAGTGAGAAATCATTTATTGAAAAACATACATCAGTATATCTTAGGTTTTTATGTTGGCATATGTTATATGGTAAAATAGATCTTCAAATAGATACCTTAGCACCTGGAGAGCCTGGAAATCCTGCAGTTCCGGGAGGGCCAGGGGGACCCTTAAATAAAGAAGGCAAAGTTATTATTACAAAAGGTGAAGGCCATATGGAATAAATCTTAATTTGAAAATAAACCCGACTGTAAGAGGGTTTTTTTTTTCCCTGTTGAGAACAAAGAAACATCTGGCAAAATATCAAGACATATGAGTCAGACTCTAGAAGATGGAACATGGCTGCTTTTATAATATCACACCTATACTTTAGCCATCCCTGTTCAATGTACAGAGTCAATCCGATGTGGATGTTTTTGTAACTGAAAAAAATCAATTTGAAAAATATGACTATGGAGATGAAATAGCATAAAATATTTTAACAGATGACTGAATGAAAGCACGTGAGAGGGAAAAGAGGACTACTACAATTTCTAAGTAGAAAAATAAAAATGTTGGGCTACCTTATCATTTTTATGACTTGGGCAACCTCATAGTTTATTTGCCCCATTGAAAAAAAAGAATCCATTGGGAAACAGGAAAGGACAAAGACTTCGTTGATTGCTCTCCCCCTCATTGATGAAAAGGGGCTTGCATGTGAATTCATCCTATCATCTTGAGGGGAAGGGAATAAAAATGCTTGACAAGAAAGAACTATATCATGATGCTAGCTGGAATTTGGAGAAGGCAATATTTCTAAGCATAAGTGAGGGATCCCCAACTGCTTGACTTGGGCTAGCCCTAAAGGACACGCAAAGCTTGCATGTTTTAGTAGCCACTATTATCTTTTGGAATCTATGGGTGTGTCTAGACTACTGAGTTTTGTCGACAAAAATGGACTTTTGTCGACAAAACTATACCAGCGTCTACACTACCGCTGAGTTCTGTCTACATAACGTCGACAGAACTCAGAAGTTTTGTCGACACTGGTATACCTCATTTTACGAGGCATAACACCTTCTGTCGACAGAGTTCTGTCGACAGAAGGGGTTATTGCCTGTAGGGTTGCGTCTAGACTACAGGGTTCTGTCGACAAAGCAGCTTGCTTTGTCGACAGAATTCAATGTGTCTGGATGCTCTTTGTCGACAAAACTTCTGACGACAGATACTGTCGACAAAACTTCTGTCGACAAAACCCGGTAGTCTAGACATACCCTATGACTCTATCTCATTTGTGTGTGTCAGTTTACCTGCTTTAACCTTGTAAATAATGATCTGATTTCTTTTCTTAGTGAATAACTCTTTAGTTAGTATTATAGGCTACAAGCATTGTCTTTGGTTTGAGATCTGAGGTACAATTGACCTGAAGTAAGTGATTGATCCTTTGGGACTGGAAGTAACCTGAATATTGTTGTGATTTTTGGTGTCAGGATAATTTATTACAAAGGCAAGATAGAGCAGAGTTCACACTTGTTACTTGGGTGATGAAATCTAATTACAGAACACACAGTCAGTTTGGGATTTGTGCCTGTACCTCGATAGTCCTAACGTTGGCATGCTTACTCATGAGCAACTCTAGACAGCTTGACATCAAGGTCTAGCCCTATAGCTGAGTGACTTATATGATGAAATCATTAAATATCTGACCTATATAAAGAGTTTCCATTGTCTTCATGTGTAAATAATTAGAGAAAAGTTTGAAAATACACACCCTTTGGATTCACAGGACCACGGTTTCTCTTATTTTCTTTTTATTCTTCATCAAAATAAGTGTTTTATGTTTCAATCATAACAACTAGCACAAAGTTATTGAAAAGTGTAACTGCATAAAACACCAACTTGTAAAAAAAACCATGTCCAATTTAGGAATGTAGCTGACTAATTGACTAGCCCCTTGACTGGTCACTTCCTCCCTCCTTGCTGTCTATAACAGAGGCAGCAAAGGAGGGGAGAAAGAGCAGGTGATGGGGGGAGCCATCTTTAAAGCTGGTTCCCCCCAGCACCATCTCTGCGGGAAGCAGGGGAGTCAGGGGAGTAGTGGGGATCGGGCACGAACTGGGAATCAGTGATTCCTGGCTCGCGCCCGGTACCAGTTGCTGCACGTCTGCTTTTAAAATTTATTAAGAGCCTGCCAGATCTTAATACATTTAAAAAGGAGAAGTGTAGTGCGGGGTGGGAGGGAGGGAGACCTAGCACGCGAGCTGGGACAGCTGATTCCTGGCTCATGCTGGGTTTCACCCGCAGTGCCCCAGCCTTTTTAGGGTATGTCTAAACTGCACACTTATTTCAAAATAAACTATTCTGGAATAATTATTCTGAAATAGCTTACTTCAAAATAGCACATCTATACCGCAGGGAAGCCTCAAAATTAGCCTGAGGCAGGCTTCCTGAATGTAGACGTGCTATCTCAATTTAGATCCCCAGGAGGCACTGGGGAGGAATAATTTAAAATGGCCTTGGTGAGAGCCTATTTTGAAATAGCAGCAATGGAGTGTCTACACACACCTTATTTCAAAGTAGTTATTTTGGAATAGGCATTATTCCTCGTAGAATGAGGTTTACAGATTTTGGAATAAGCCAACTGTTATTTTAAAATTATTTCAAAATAGTGGAATGACTATGTAGATGCTCATCTTGTAATTTGAAATAATATTAATTATCTTGAAAAAATGGTGCAGTGTATTAAGAGCCAGCAGGTTCTTAATACATTTAAAAGGCAGAGCTGTAGTGGGGTTAGCTCCTGGGGTCTATTAGTTGATTAACCTAAATTTAACATCTCTAGTCCAATTAATGGGTGTTGTAGTACATCAGGCATGTGGGCAAAAGAAAAATAGTTAAGCAACACAATAGCCAAAGGAAAACAATAATTAAGTTTCTTACAGGTTGTCCAGCTGTTCCCGGAGTACCATCATTACCACGGGCACCCTACCAAAAGAATACAACATATCACATACCAAATATTCTCTTTGAGACTGAAAAGCCAAGCACTTTGATTCTGGACAATGGTAATGATTTCAAACCATTTTTCTGTGTCACTATACATTCCAATATATTTCATTAAGACACAGACAATTTCTCAGCTATGGATGCCTATATATATATATATATATATGGATTTATATAATGGATCTCAGTGAATTTATATAATATTCAAAAGGTGTCTATCAATTATGCATGCACTCTACTGTAATGATAAAGATAGTGGTATATAAAAGACACCAACAATGCTTTAATGCATAGTAATCATGCTTAATAAAGCACTATATAATGTATGTGATCTGTACTTCGGATTAAATAAATTAGGGTATGTCTACACTACATCGCTAATTCAAACTAATTTAGTTCGAATTAGTTAATTCGAACTAAGCTAATTCGAACTAACGCGTCTAGAACTAAAAACTAGTTTGAATTAAAGTTTTGCTAATTCGAACTAGCATGTCCACATTAAGTGGACCCTGAACCGGGCTTAAGGATGGCCGGAAGCAGTGCCGGCAGGGCATCAGAGGAGGACTTAGAGTGTGGAGATGCTGTCTCAGGCTAGCCGAGGGCTGTGCTTATAGGGTCCCGACCCCCACCCCGGACAGACAGTTCTCATGGGTGCCCCGTTTGCAAAGCAGTCCTGGCTTGGAGTGCCCTAAGTACCTACACTGGGCACATCACAGAACTCGGCCATCAGCACGGCTGCATTTGCCGCAGGCTGCCATCTGGGGAGAGGGGGCAATTGGGGGGCTGCAGGAGAGCTTCCACCCCCAGAAGCCCGCAGAGCCAGCCCAGTCCTCCCCATCGGGGGCTTGTGACCCATTCCTCCCTCACCTCCTTCCACTTACCCTTCCCTAGCCCCCCTTCCTGATGTACAAAATAAAGAGAACGTGTCTTCCAAAATGGAATCTGTCTTTATTGAACAAAACTGGGGAAGACTGGGAAAAGGATGTGGGAGAGGGGAAGAGAGAGGCTGGGAGAGGGGAGGGCAACTAAAATGATCAGGGCTTGGGAACAGGTCCCATATGAAGAGAGGCTAAAGAGACTGGGACTTTTCAGCTTAGAAAAGAGGA